CTTATATTTAAAACATATTTGTTATGTAATCTATATACCTAGAATAGATTTTAGATAAATAATGATTTACAAATTGAACTGAAAAATGTGTGCGCTTTTGCGTGCGATATTGTTTTATCAATTAGTCATTATATTCACATCAAATTCATAATTAAATAATATTTTAACATTATAAAAATCTAAACAATATAAGAGAAAAATTATAATCAATATTTAATATTATATAAAAATAATAATAAAAAAGTATAAATAGTATCATAGAATATTAAAAAAAATAGTATGTATAAAAGTGGGAATGAGGAGGGAGAAACATTCAGATTGCCAAAAATAAATGTATTAAATATATGAGTTGACAAAAATATCTATAACAATTTTAATTTAATTGGTTGAAAAAATAAAGATATTTAAATTTGACTGGCTATGTTGCTTTTCTATTTAAATCTAAATTGTATTGACTAAAAATAAAAATATTAAATTGTACGAAAATAATAAATCTTTAGTAATGTAAAAAATAATTTTAATAAAGTGAAAAATTAATATAATTCCTAATTGAGAAGTTTTACACTAATTTAAAATTTAAATTATGCCCTATTGTAAGAGTTTTATCATATTTTAATTATGAATTATATATTGTATATATTATACACACACACACATTTTATATATGTAAGTTTTATTTACTTTCGCCGTTAAGGGTATGTGGAATATTCATGGCTCAGACTTGTTATTGTTGATTGATGATGTATTAATTTTATTTTTTATTAATTTTAATTTGAAACCAATATTGTTCTATTATTAATATTGTTCTTAGCAATAATTATTGAACTTTCAAATTCTTTAAATTTTATTTTGTATTTATGTAATATTATAATCTTAAATCTAATCATCCATGTATTCAATTTTTAACTTGTGCCAACTCACATTAGTTGATTTAACTTTACTTTTATTATAATTATAATTATTTTCAAATGAAAATGATTATTTTCTATAACAAAGTCATTATTACTATTTTTATTGTTGAATAAAACTTTTTCGAATAGAATGAATATTTTCCTATTCTATAATAAATTCAAATTTTATAAATTTTTTTATAAATGTATTTTTATTTTGAATTTATGAATAGTTTTATTTAGATTTTGTAGAAAAGATCATGAATATGGAGGAAAATCAAATTGTAATAAATATTTTATATAATAATTATTTTTTATAATTTTATTTATATTTTGTTAATTACTATATTCAATTTATTATGAATTAAAACAACAATGAACAACATTCTTAATAAATAATAAAAAAATTATAAATTAAATAATGAATATCTATAATTAGAAGTAACACGTGCAACCCACGTTGTTGAGTGCTCGTTTAATTAAACAAATAGTTAGTCAAAAGTAGCATTTTAAAATAAAATTGCTAAATTGCCTTATTAATATCAATAATCCAAACAACAATTATATTTCTTCTAAAATGACTCTAAAGTCTAAACGTGTAACAAAAAGAAACGACAGTTAATTTGTTCCCTGCATGCAACACAAACGACAAGAAAAGCTGCAAGAAAGTTCGTACTTTATATATATTTCTAAAATTGACTCTTAAAGTCTAAAGTGTAACAAAAAGAAACGACAGTTTAATTTTGTTCCCTGCATGCAACACAAACGACAAAGGAAAAGCTGCAAGAAAGTTCGTACTTTATATATATATATATATATATATATAATACATATATATATATACAGAGAATTGATAGATTTCGTAGCAAGAATAACTAACGATAGAGTAATTTAGTGAAACTAATAGTAAAGGTAAATTGTTTATCACATCACATCTTGGAATGGATGTATAGATAGATTCTTTTATCAAATTACGTAAAAATAACTTTTGGGGTTAAAAATGGATACTTTTTACTGTTCATTAAAAAAAGATAAAATAATAACACTTTGTCCAAAACTTTTGATGTTGTATTAATAAAAACATGTTGTTTTAATAAATATTATAATGTTGTCTTTTTGTTTTCAAATGATTGTAGGAATACAATTTGAGCAAAGGAATACAATTGCATAGAAAAATAGGGTCAAAAGAGCATCAGAACACAAGTCGCGAGCGCGAGAAGCACACAAGAGGGTCAGTGAGTTTACAGGCAAGATTCGCGAGCGTGCCATGAAATTTGCGAGCGCGAGAAGCACCCTCCCGAGTCAGAGAGGTTACAGGCACAATTCGCGAGCGCGACATGAAATTCGCGCGCGCGAGTTGTGTTTCCAGCCTGCGCAATGTGTACTATTTTGGTCATATATCTCAATTTATAACTCCGATTTAAGTGATTCAAAAACCTATGGAAAGCTAACACATAGCGGAACAAATAACTCTTGTAGACCACTTCCTAATTCCATCGTTAAATAGGGTCAAAATCAAGGTGAAGTTACTGGTCACTTTTCCAGCAAAACCTGTTTCAGTATAAACTCAATATTTACTTCATTTATTCATTTGCAAAACCTGTTCTCAGTATAAACTCCAATATTTACTTCAAATTTATTTCATTTCATCCCATGCTTTCTCACCATTTCTAGTCCTCTCACTCAACATTTAAGGCAATATATTTTTTCTCCATTATTACACACAAACCACACAAGTTACTCATGCAAGGAAGTGGTAAAATTTAATCAAGGAGTACTCTCAAGAACCCACTGCTCAAAAAAGCTTCGAGCATCTTACCTTAGCCCTCCTGCACCTTTTAAAGCTCACTCTCCAGATACATAAGAATTCTATGAATTTATATCTACCAATATAACTAAATTAAAGGGTGAAAACATAACAAATGATTCAATTATGAAATTCAAGAAGGTTTACTTACTTGGATAGAAGAGAAGTTGAAGTTAAGGCTTAACTACCATTAAAATCTTCACTACCCTTAAAATTGAAAGGAAGGTGGAAGAGGAAAGGATGAAGATGAAGATAAAGATGAAAATGGGAAAGTGACATGGAGATAACGGGTAGGCTCCCAAAATATCATTGATTGTGTGAAAAATTACCAACTGGTACCTCAATTATCAAAAGGTTACAACTTAATACCCAAGCTTTATATTTTAGTGCAAGCAAGTCCTAATCCTTATACTTTAATCTTTTTCTCTCATTCAAGTAAGTCCACTTATATTCTTATCATTAGTATTATAACTCCCATCCTACCCACTCTGGACTCTACTGGCTCGAACAAGATTTTGGTTCAGCCCAACTCAACTCGACTCTATGCAATGACTCGACTCGGTAGGATGTCACACCTGTAGCAAGCAACACAACAATATAGGCAAGTGACATAGCTGATCCTATAACAATCATGAATAAAGTAAATAGGCCCACTGGTCATTTCTTTCATAAATGTGTAAAGGCCAATTCGGATGTCACAGATATTCATGTCTTGTAAAATATTAAGTACTTATTAATGTAAACAGCACTCAAACATGAGTATAATAGTCAATTATAACATCGTATGATATCAGCATGACAAGGAAACATAGAGTCAACCAGTTTGTAGGAATTCTCGGTTCGAATATTAAGTACATTATTAATGTAAACAGCATCAACATGATATAATAGTCAATATACATTATGATATCAGCATGACAGGACATAGAGTCAACCAGTTTGTAGAATCTCGGTTCGGTTCATTCGGGTTAACGGGTGGACCGGGAAGGGATGTTACTAGTTAGTTGAAACGTCTATCAACTATTAGCTTGCTGATTAAAAAATTTATCAAACCCCTACAAACTAATCATTGGGTATGAATCACTATCAACTCCATGAATCAATTGAATCAAATGCCCCTAAATTGTGTATTTTTTTTTCTATTTAACCAATAAAAAAACTATAAATAAGATCAATAAAAGCAATCATTAATATAGAAAAACATGAACCTAATTGCCTAAATTTTGAATTAAACCAACAAATTTTTATTGTAATCCTCATGGATACAAATAAAATCCATTAATCACTTGTCACTAAAAATTCAAGCAAAGCTCATCAACATTCAATCACAATAAATCAACAATAACTTCAAGATAACTTAGCCATCATCAACCAAAGTAAGTAACTTCAATGACTAGATTAGTTCGACAGATGGTTTGTAAGGGACAGAAGGATAAGAAAAAAACAAAACTATTAGTAACTATAAGAACAAATATTAACCAGCATAGGCGAATTTTCAGTTTAGGGGATAGTATGGGATCGTGGTTAGGGTGAAAAAAAAAATACCCATTATGAACTAAATAGTAATTTGCTTTTATAACAACTGAATCATTACCTGCCTCAACTCAAGTCCAATTCTAGTAAAAAATAATTTCTGCTCAATTTACTAATGAAATATTTAATTAATAGTTGATTGATATTTAAAAATTATCATTGCCAACTAGATGTGGTTCAGTTAACTTTTTTATTAATTTGGAGAATATGAGGTTTCGAATTTAAATCCTTTTAATTATAGAGTTTTTACTGAACTAAAAGTCGACTACTCATATTGTACGACTTATCATGTTACTTCTGGGTCTTTAAATAAAAAAAATTATTACCACCAATGCCAGTTGGATTAGTGAAAATAGCCTGCATCATTGTATAGAAAAATCCATAGATAAAATTTATCCAGATAGAGTTTACGAACCTACACATCAACCAAACTAATCACAATAATTTTTTTTAAAAATTATTTCACTTTTTTTACTTTTCTAAATGAATGGTTAGAAATATTTTTTTTTTAAAAAAAAAAACATATATATGAGTCATCAAAACACATCTGCAAATAAAAAATAAAATCATTCATCAATAATATTTTATTATTTTATTCTAGTAAAAATTAAAAATTCACCCTATCAAAATATTCTCCATAAAAATAATGAATAATTAATCTCATCTCATGCAATAATCCGCTTGAAACTGACACCTGTGCATAACTCAACCTATGAAGCATTCTGCTTAACACCCCCTTCTCTCTCTCTCGATGTCTCTGTTGATGTCTGTCTTAAATTCGTTTCACGCTTCTTCAACACTTCTTCAACACTAAATATTATTACAAGCTGACAAACTTCAACATTCCCATCTCCTCTCTCTCCTTCCTATCCTTCCCCTCTAAAATTAGCAAAACCCTATTTTCCTTAAACACCCAAATTACTCTGTCTCTACAAATGGACCTCAGTCTCGTACCATTCCAACAGCACACTACCAAATCTCGAGAAACCCATAACCATGACCTTACCAAAAATTACAATAACAACAGTAACAATAAAACTAATTATAAGTACAAAGAATGCATGAGAAACCATGCTGCTTCCATCGGCGGCCACGCCAACGACGGCTGTGGTGAGTTTATGCCACGTGGGGCTGCCGACGATGGCAGTCTCACCTGCGCTGCATGTGGGTGCCACCGTAATTTTCACAGAAGGGAAACGGAGGGTACTCAACTACATTCTCACCATTATGAACATTTCTTTCTTTCTCCTCCTCCGCCACCAGTACCACAACAAATTCTCTTGTACAATGCTGGCGGCGGCGGATCTCCTAGTACTGTTAACAAGAAACACCTGGCTTCTCATCATGAGTTTTTTGATGATGAGGATGATCATGATCGGCGGTCGCAGACGCCGGAGAGAGGAGAAGTGAATGTCGGTGGTTTAGGTGGAAGAGCGACGGCGGTGAGGAATAAGAGGTTTAGGACGAAGTTTACGCAGGAGCAGAAAGATAGGATGCTCGAGTTTGCCGAGAAGATAGGATGGAGAATAAATAAACAAGATGACGTGGCACTCAAGCAGTTTTGTAGTGAGATCGGTGTGAAAAGGAACGTGCTTAAGGTTTGGATGCACAATAACAAAAATGCACATCGCCGTACTAGAGAAGAAGGTCCACTGCCGTCTACGGCTGATCCTCCACCTACAGTGCCGTCTCAACCAGTCGGTGTGTAATGCACTTGGGTTGATTAGTTAATTACGATTACTCTCCCACTTTTTCTCCGTTTAATTTTTTAGCTTGCTTTGTATTTAATTAGTTAGTTAATTAGGTTACTTAATGGTACTACATGTATTAACTAATTAATTAATCAAATATAATATTAATGATATTATTTGGATGTGTATATTCACATAAAAACAATGTGGAAATATTTTAATTTAGAGAGACTAATTTATTTGGATTGTAATTATAATTGTTTTGTAACGATATTTAGATCAGGTTTTTGGCTTGTCACATGAGTCTAAATTTCATATCCCTGTACGAGAAAAATATAAATATCTTCATATACAAGACACGTTCGATGATAAGCACCTCGTCTCAAATTGTAACTCTTTCAATTGTGATAATTTCAGATTCAAACTACCCATTTTGCGATTTAATTGTTATAAGTTAATAATTAATATATTTATATCCACTATTAATAATTTAAAACAATTGGTTCCAATAAAAAAACACATTTGATTTTGGAGTTTTATTGTTAAAAATCCTCAAAACATAGTAATTCAAAGGATTAAATAGAAATTAGCAAAAACTTCATGAAATTTCTATAAATAAATGACAAAATAGCTGGACGTAAAGGATTTTTTAAAAGACCATCTGTTATGGTTTCATGTGAAGGCAAAATGGCTCCCCATTCTTAGAGCAACTCTCCTTTGACAAAGTAGGTAGGTGGAATATGCATATTCTTCTGCTTATCCATTTTAAATTTTAAATTTTTAATATTTTGCCCTTCTTTTTCTTTTTCTCTTTTTTTTTTTCCAATAATAATAAACAGAAAATTGGAGAGTAGAAGATTAAAACTAGCCATTAACTGTAAAAAAAGAGGTTACAGTTGTGGATTAACATTTTTATTAAAATTGAAACAAAATGTCTAAATATCATATTTATGATATGGAAAATAAAATGAGAACTACCACTGTTTTATAATTAGTATAAACCATATAAAGAGTAAGGTCCATATAAAGAAGCTGACCCAAATAAGATAGTGGCAAAGCAAGCCCAAACAATTTAACGTGGATAGAGAGCAGAGGTGAAGTAGTCTTTAGGAGAAATCAGCTCTTGTTACTGTGTTCTTAGAATTAAGTAATTATCATAGATTTATAATTAATTTTTTGAAAATAAAAAGCATGTTTAAATATTTTTTTAACATTAAAAATATTTTTTTTATTTTTCAAAAATAAAAAGCAAGTAAAAACTATAAAATTATTATTTTGACTTAATAAAAATATTATTGACTTAAGATAAAATACAAAATATATTCAAATAATATAACTTAATTATATATTACGAAAAGGTGTACTATAATGTTTCTTTTTTGTGAAAATAATAATTCTTTTTAACATTAAAAATATTTTTTTTATTTTTCAAAAATAAAAAGCAAGTAAAAACTATAAAATTATTATTTTGACTTAATAAAAAATAAAAATAAATATTAAATATAATTATAACATTAATTATAATTAGAAAGGTGTACATATAATTTTCTTTTGTGAAAAATAATTATTTAAATAATTTTAGAATATTAATTAAACAGGTGATGGTTAGCTAGTACCCGAGTTCTCGAATCCAAACCTGATATGAGTAGTAAAAATATTACTTAAATCCGTCCTAAACTCCTTTCTTCACTATCCAAACCATCAAAATCAAGCTAGATCAAGTTGCGTACCCACCGGTAGGAGTGAGTAGTATTTAGTCCAGACCGAATTACTAAATTGAATCAATTTATTTTAGTTTGATTCCGTTAGGCTTTTTTAAGATCGATTATCAATCGGTTCAAATAGAATAACCGATTGGTTTCTGATTTGTCTATTCAACTGAATTGATTTTTACACCTAAATAGATTATTTAATTTGGAATAATTAAATCAAATTCGAACCGATTTGATTCGGTTCAATACTGAATCAATTATCACAGTGTTCGGTGCAGTTTTGATTGGCGTAAAATCTACTCCGTCAGAAAAAATTGAATGCTCACCCTTTCAACCGGGTCGGGTAAATTTGCCATCCGTGGTCCACATACTATTGGACAGTCAAAAACAAACCTAAAATCCAAAACAGAAATAAATCACCAACACACTCTAGAGTCTAAACCACAGAAACATGAGGCCAAGAAAGTTTCTCTCTTCTTCTAACTTATTAGAAGCCCCAATGAACTTAGTATCTTTCTCTGCACTTTATGGCCTCCATAGCTGCCCCTCAAGCTTCTTCATATTCACTCTTCTTGAGAAGCCACGGCAACCATTCGCATCAACTGCTAACAAGAAAAGCCATAACAAGAAATAAGAAGAAAAACAGCAACAACAACAATGGTGGATTTAGAGTTTTAGCAGAAACACAAGAGCCTCAATCTCAAAGTAAGAGGCAACGAGCAACCCCAGGAGTGGACACAAGAATCCATTGGGAAAATGAAGAAGAAGGATGGATTGGTGGAAGCAGTAATTCTACTTCACAGAAACGGCTAGAAGAAGAAGAAGAAGAGCAGAGGAAGAGTTTATTAGGTGATAAGTTTGCTGATTTGCTTAATGATACTTCTGGTTCTCATTATCAGTAAGTCTTTGATTTTTTTTTTTACGTTAATTGAATTCATTATGAGAATAATTGGATAATATATATAGTTATTCAGTTATTGAATGACTGTTTAATAAGATACTGAGGGAGAATTAGTGTTTAGTCTCTGATTTTTTTTTCCTTTTGAAATTTTGATATACCAGAAAAATATGAAATTAAGATCCTATAGACTAACAAATTGAAAAATATTAAATATCATGAAATTTATTTTTAAAATTAATTTCAAATGTTTTTGTTATAAAAAAATCTCACTAGTTAAATAATTCTTATTTTTTTGAAATTAATTAAATAGTATTTCTAAATTGATTTTTGTTTCCAACATAATTTTAAATGAATTTCTTTTTGGGATTTTATAGAAAAAATTGGCAGCAGAAACAATGATTCAGAATTTTTAGTTAAATATGATCAAGTTAAATGAATAAAATAATTAAATTCTAGAAAAAATAACTTTTGTTATTCTTTGAATAAAAAAATCGTCATTCACAGTTGGTTTGTAGCAAACCACAGAAATACATGAATATAAAAAATAAATAATAAATTTATTAATTAACTAAAATGGACAATCCATGAAAATATAATATCAACGTGCAACCAACTGATATTGCAGAAAAAGTAGTTTAATCTTATGTCAAACAAGCTCTTATCATAATCTCAACGTCAAAAATTGAGCAGGTTCTTGGGTATATCAGTAGATGCAGATATAGAAGAAATAAAAGCAGCATACAGAAGATTATCAAAAGAGTATCATCCGGACACAACTTCACTCCCACTAAAAGCAGCTTCAGACAAGTTCATGAAACTAAGACAAGTTTATGATGTTCTAAGCAATGAAGAAAAACGAAAATTCTATGATTGGACACTTGCACAAGAAGCAGCTAGTCGCCAACAAGAGAAAATGAGAATGAAATTGGAAGACCCATATCAGCAAGATTTAGATAACTATCAATCTGTTCCTGATATGGTTGATAGACTTGGTGGAAGAAACATGGAGCTCAGTGATCAAGCTATGTCTGCCCTTACTATTGATATTTTGATTATCATTTTTGCTATTTGTTGTATTATTTACGTCGCTTTTTTTAAAGAATCTTATTAGTAACCAACAAGATACTGGTTCAGATAGTTAGCGACCTCGATTCATGTAAATGTGAGAATAAAAATTTGATCCGAGAAGCACATTTTACTAAAAGGCTCAAACACCTTTAGGTCTATGACTCGAGGGGATTAAATCTCTAAATTATATATATATAAAAAAAAAGAAACTCATTAGTAGTTTTATTAGTTAGTTTGGTGAAATATTATTGTAACATGTACAGTGTGTATGGTAAATATTATACAAAAAGGTCATTCATCTGTCAAATATTTTAAAAGTATATGAGTTTGAATCTTTAATTTTATTGTAGAATTAGATACTTGACGATCATTAAATTATGTGGTATATGATATATTCATTTTTTTAATATAAAACAACCATATTGCACTTAGAGTTTGTTCCGCAAAATTAGTTGTTTTGATAGCTGTTTGAGTAACGTTTTATAAAACGCTAAAAGCTAAATGTTACAAGGATTAACTTTTTGTAGAACGCTATTTAAATCTCTAAAAGTTAATTCAAACGATTTATTACCGAACACTATAAAAGATAGCGTTTAGCATTTTGACTGGTCAAAATATTAAAAACTACTTAAAAAATTGTTAATGAAGACCGTTTTAGCCTTAGTCGAGAATAAACAACCCTAGCTGAATCATGAATCAACTGAAAAAAGAAAAAATAACTTGAAGCCGAGAATCAAAGGATATACAAAACAAGATGAATGAATTGGTCCATTGTATTTTTAGTTGTTTATTGGTCTAAGGACTCGCAAAGAAAAATGATGCCTCGAAAATTTCACATCAGGCAATTTGAGAGATTTTTTTAGATATTTGTGGGTGGATAGTAGGACTAGTCAGTTTTGTGAACTGCTAGTTTCAAGTCTTATTTATTTTAAAGTTAGAGTCAACTTGTATTTAGTTGATTTGGATTGGTTTTAGTTCCTTTTTCTTTCTTTCTTTTTTTTTTCAGAAATAGTTTGAATCAGCTAGTTTCGATTCCACAAATAAGGACTAGCTTGTCTATTCTAATTCAGTTTGAAATTGAATTTTCTTTATCATGGCTAGGTCTTACGATTTTGAGCAACTAGCGACGAATTAATGGAAAAGGAATCATACAAATTTGAATAATTAGGAAAAATAAATGATAATTTACTCAAATTAAAAAATATTTTATAATTTAAATAATTTAATTACTTCATTAATTACCATATAAAAAGCCTTAAACGATAGATAAAAGTGTATAGGAAGAATATAATTCTTCTTTGATGTGAATTAAATTTTTCATTTTTTATCTTTGTATTGTAAATAAAAAAATTATATTTTAAAATATAATTATTTTTTATTAGTTCACATCTTGAGAAAGAAAAATAAATTATCATATCAAAGAAATCTATTAGATTAAAAGATGATATTTATTTGAATGTTTTTTTGTTTAGGGAAATGAATGCTCTTCAATATTACCAAAAACGATAATTTTAGCAAACGAGTGTTCTTTGGATCAAGTTTAGTTGGGCCGGGCCGAATTGAAGGTTAACTTAGGCCTGCACTATGGATGCTTGGGTCGAATACAGGTGACTGAGGCAACTTCCGGGAATAGGTCATTATTTTTTCTTTCTAAGAAAATAAATGAGTTTCAGAATTTGAAATTTTAAATTGACCTAATTGCCCCTGCATGAATAAATAAATTCGGTGTATTAATTTAAACTCCATTTTAATTCGTGAAAAATATTTTCCGTATTTTGTTATGTTTAAAGGTGTTGTGAAAATTGATAATGAAAAATATTTTCTAATTAAAAAACTAAATTATATTTTAAAAAATGACTTCTTAAAAGACAGAGTCACTATTCAGCAAAATTAGTGTTAATGTATAGTTTGTAATCCCTTATTATCTATATAACATATAAAAGTAGAGTAGTTTATCTTATATAAAAGCCAGTATAAATAGCACAATTTTATGTACAATAATCATATGTAAATACACCAAAATTGAAAGCAGTATTACATACCTGTAAATCCTCCATCATGAATAGGTATGCATCCTTGAGATCAATAATGGCAATGCTTTCTGGAAACTTGCATATCAAGAAAAGTAATTGGTTCTTATACTTTAAATCATGCTTCGACTATAAATAAAAATTGATAAGATTTTAGTATTTGGGGGTAAAACCACCCTCAGTTTATGTTATTTAGAGTAGAAAGTCTTTATACACAAGCATAAATATCTGACTATCTAATAATCTTAATAAAAATCCAAAATTCATCTTATATGAAAGTGAAAGAAAGGTAACTACCGAAACAGTAACAAGGATATAATTGCTTATCTAAATATTAGGCATCATCTTGTAAAAGAAGCACCTCCCATCATGATTAAATTTTGGGTTGTTTCCCAAACTGTCAAAGACAGATTTATTGGATTTGACATCAACAAACTAAGCGTCTTTTATTTGTTTTGGTGTAAAAGCTCGTCTTGTCTATTGGGTAAGGATGAAGTTCCAGCTAGTTAAAACAGAATAACAAATTCTGTTGTGTAGATAGATTTATGTTACGTAAATATAGGAGTGTATTCTAATCCATAACTTGTATATATACTCTTGTTGTGTAGAAGTAGATTTATGTTGTAATATAGGAGTGTATTCTAATCATAATTGTATATATAGCTCTTGCTGTAATATTGTAAACATTAATCAATTGATAACAATCTATAGAAACCTTTCTTGTTATGTGTACAGAAGCTCGTCTTCTAAAAGCCTTTTTTTTGTTGTCCTGATTACTATTTTCTTTCTATATCAAGTTCGGTTCTCTGTTGCATATGGGTGAGCGACTCTTCAATGTCTCCTTCTAAACATCAAACATCTCCTCTCCTGGTACTCCTGTGATACCCACAACTGCGTTAAGTCTAAACGCAGAAAACCAGTTGGTGTCTATTAATTCTGCAGCTCAAGCACCACTCAAATTAAACTCTACTAATTATCAGTCCTGGCATACGTAGTGGTATTTATTGCTTGTGGGCTATGATCTGTTGAAATTTGTTGAAACTGAAATTCCAGCCACTCTTGCCACAGACCCATTCTGGCTACATCAAGATGAACTCTTGCGCAGTGCACTTATTGCATCTCTCTCACCTGAATTAATTTCATTTGTTATTGGTGAAAATACATCTTTTGCTATGTGGCGAACTTTAGAGAAGACGTATGCCAAATGATCTCAAGCTCGAATCATGAGCTTGAGAGGGTCCTTGTTCAATGCGAAGATGGGTCGTTCTACTGCTACTGAGTATCTTCAGCGTATTAAAACTATAGTTGCTACGCTGGCACTGGCAGGCGTGACTGTTTCTATGGGAGAAGTCTTGCTTCATGTTCTTCGTGGTTTACCAAGTGATTACAAAGAAGTTGTGGCGGCACTCAGGGCTAGGGACAATGATGTCTCTTTTGATGAGTTATATGCTAAACTTACTGACTTCGAAAGTCAGTTATCTCACTCAGCTACCGTAGTTGTGGCTCCAACGACTATAAATTCACTGCAGAACCGACCAAGTTCTGCTTTTCATAATTCCAAGCCTGGTGGATCTGGAACTGGGTCTGGTAATCGAAATTTTTCGAATTCTAAAGGCAAGGTGTCTTGTCAATTTTGTAATCGCCCTGGACACACTACCAAACAATGTTACAAACTGAAAAAGTTGCTTCCCTGGCTATTTGAGGGATCTTAATCGCCGGCCAAACCTGTTGCTCAATCACAAGTCAATTGCGTGAATACAAACTCTGCTGCTCATCCGCGATGGATAGTGGATTCTGGGGCCAATCAGCATGTGGTTCAAGATGTGCGAAACATGGCTGTTCATTCTGAATATGATGGAACAGATGATGTTGTTCTTGGTGACGGTACAGCTCATTCTATCTCCCATAAAGGTTCTGCTTTGCTTTTGACTAAAACAAAACCGTTACAGTTACAAAATGTTCTTTGTGCTCCTGCTATTGATAAAAATTTGATCTCTGTTTATCAATTGTGTACTGCTAACAATGTTGAGGTTGCATTTAATCCTTTTATGTTTTATGTAAAGGATTTGAACATGGGGGTGCGATTGGTGGAAGGGAAACCGGTTGTTAATAGGATTTGAACACGGGGTGCCGACTTTGAGGTTGGAAGGAAAATCCGGTTAAGTGGAATCTATGAAATTGGCCTGATGCAGATCCTGGTTACCGCATATACTTCGAGTCGGTTTTACATACTGTTGTCTCGTTCACCAATTTAATGGCAATAACGGCTTTGTTGGCCTTCCGGCCACTCGCTATTTTGCGTCGTTATGCACTACGGAGTTAATTTGTCTGTGTCTGATAATGAAGTTTTTCTTGCAATTCCTGTGTAAGTGCAATAAAATGCACAAAAATCCTTTTTATCGATTTCCGTCAATGTCTAGTACTCGCTTTGGAAGTATAAATTATCTGATGTTGGGGAACCTTGACCGGGTTACTTCTATTGAGGTTTTTCCTTATTATACTTATCTTTGTTTGACACTACATCTAAATTTCTGGCTAGTAACTTTCTTGAAACGTAATCTGAAGTGTCTGAATTTCTGTTTTCAAAACTTGGTTGAGAATCATTTATAAAACAAAATTGGATCTTTAATTCTGATAATGGAGGTGAGTTTCCTTCAACATGTAGCTTTACGAGTTTCGCTAACAAGCAATGTGTTCCCATGTTACTGACCGCTTATATCAACATGAGCACAATGCCTAATTGCTGAGGCGCGACATCGGCATATTGTCGAAACTGGGTTAACTCTTCTCCATCAAGCTGATTTACCTCTTGAATTCTGGTCTTTTGCGTTTCATACTGCAGTTTATTTGATAAATCGAATGCCTACTCCGATTCTTCACAATCAATCACCATTTTTTAAACTTCATAACAAAGAGCCGAATTACACCAAATTAAAAGTCTTTGGCTGCTTGTGTTACCCCTGGATTCGGCGATACACTTCTAATAAATTAGAAAAACGCTCAACTTTTTGGGTTATTCTGTCAATAGAAGTGCTTTTCAGTGTTATGATCCTGTTGCAAATAAGCTTTACATATCTAGACATGTTGATTTTGTTGAATTTACGTTTCCATATCCTATAGACATGTTGATTTTGTTGAATTTACGTTTCCATATCCTACGTTCCAAACGTCTCCTAATTCTAGTCCAACTTCTGATTCGATT